GAGATATGAACTCTGTGGAAGCTCTTACTGACTGCATATGTACAACTCTTATTCATGTGTTGCGTACTTGCCTTATCTGTGAGGTATTAAGTATTAACAATGTGGAAGCTTAGTATACACATATCAATATATCATGTGTTGCTTACTTGCTTACATTAGATGGACCCTGAAGAATGTGTGACCTTTTCTACATCTGGATCTCAACCTCCTCTGAGTCAAGAAACAGTGGTGGAAAGTCAAATTCCTGAGCCTAACATTACCAATGAGCAGACTGCACCACCTGCTGTTTCTGGACAAAAGAGAAAAGTGGTTGACAAAAGATCTAAGATTTGGGATCACTTTGATGAAATTAAGGATGAAAAGGGTGTGGTTATTAAGGGGAGGTGCATATATTGTGCAAAAATATAATGTTGTCACTCTAAGAAACATGGAACTTCCTCCATCAGAAATCACATGCTTAATTGCATGAAAAACCCCCATGCTAAAGACACTAGATAAGCCCTATTAACCTTCCAGCCTGTACCTCCACAGACAGGTGAACCATCTGGAAAGACTGGGGTCATGGGAACTTGGGTATTTGATCAACAAGCTATTAGGAGAGCTCTAGGTGAAATGCTAATCATTGATGAGCTTCCTTTTAGATTTGTAGACAGACAAGGTTTTAGGAATTTTGTTGCTGCAGCCTGTCCTAGGTTTCAAATTCCTTCTAGATGGACAATTGCTAGAGACATTTTTCAAATATACCTTGATGAAAAAATGACTCTAAAAAGGAATTTTAGGGAACAAACTCAGAGAGTTAGTATAACTACTGATACATGGACCTCTGTTCAGAGGATAAATTACATGTGCATTACTGCTCATTTCATAGATCATCAGTGGAAGCTCCAGAAAAAAATAATTTCCTTTGTCTCTGTCACCTCTCACAAAGGGGAGTACCTTGCTAAAGCCCTAGAGAATTGCTTGCTTGATTGGGGTCTGAAAAGTATTTTTACTGTGACTGTTGATAATGCTAGTAGTAATGATACAGCTATTGGTTTTTTCAAGAAAAAATTAGTAGCCTGGGGTGCTTCTTCTGTAAAAGTAAAGTATGTTCATATGCGTTTCATTGCACACATCTTGAACTTAGCAGTACAAGATGGTCTTAAAGATTCAGACACTTCAGTCATGAGAGTTAGGGAAGCTGTTAAGTATGTTAGGAACTCACCTGCTAGGCTTCAAAAGTTCAAAGATATATCTGATTTGATATGAGTGGAAGCCAAGACTGGTCTGCACCTGGATGTTCCAACTAGGTGGAATTCCACTTACCTGATGCTAAAATCTGCAGTTTGTAATGAGAAAGTGTTTGAAGCCTATGAGGAGAATGAATCTGCATATAGTACTGATTTGGGTTCTGACATGCCTGATGTTTTAGATTGGATTGTTGTTGAATCTTTTGTGACCATTCTAAAACATTTTTATGAAATGACACTAAGAATTTCAGGGTCACTATATGTTACTTCCAATACCTTTTTTCTGAAATTTCTGACTTGTTCCTTGTCCTCAAAGATATGGTTGCCTCTCCAACTGCTTCTGTCAGTGCCATGGGGAGTACTATGAAATCCAAACTAGACAAGTACTGGGGTGATCCTGAAAAGATGAACTATCTAATCTTCTATGCTAATGTCTTAGATCCTAGGGACAAGTTTGAGTATATGCCATTTCAGCTAAATGTTTTATATGGTGATAAAAAAGGTGCTGCTTTTTTTCTAAAAGTGAAGTCAGGTCTAACTGAGTTATTTGTTGATTATGTTTCAAGTTACCCTGACTGTTTTGGTGGAAGTTCTAATACAACTTTTACTTCTGGAGCATCTATGGAGTGTGGTAATTCTGAAAATAGGCCTGTGTCCAGGTTTAAGGCTGATCTTAAAAAGAAGAAGCTTGAGAGTGGTCAGGTAGGAGTTAAAAAATCTGAACTTGATATATATTTAGCTGAGTCCATAATTGAGGAAGATGGGGACTTTGATATTCTAAGATGGTGGAAGTTAAATAGTGAAAGGTTTCCTATACTTTCTAAGATGGCTAGGGATGTACTTGGTGTTCCCATTTCCACAATTGCTTCTGAGTCCACTTTCAGTACAAGTGGTAGGGTTTTGGACTGTTTTAGGAGTTCATTAAGTTGTAAAATTGTGGAAGCCCTTATATGTGCACAAGATTGGTTGAGAATGGCTCACCAGCCTATCTCAGTTGAAGAAAACATTGATGAAGTAGAGAGGCTGGAAAAAGGTATAAGTTCAATGTATTTTCATGTATTATTTGCTTATTCTGAAGCTTATTGTTTAAATTTCAAAATTCTAACAATTCTGTTTGTCTGTTATAGAAATAATGGATGGAAATGTTGGTGGTGGAGATGCTGCTCCTACTGGATCCTCTATTGTGCCATTAAGTGTACAATTTCTATATTTATATTGTGCATTTGTGCCATTATGTGCTTGGTTTTCCATTTGAATGTGTATGAACATGAATACATGACTCTATGATTTGGCATTAACTATGATGAAGCTTCCACTCATTACTGCATATAGGGTTTAGGGTTGGTATTGCTCTTTCAGTTCATAAAATGGTAAGTTGCAACTGAAATTGTAGCAGATGCCCCCTATTTCCCTTGTGAATGATAAAAAGCATTCTGAGCTCTATGAAATGTCTGGTTTGTTTCATTATGTGCTTGTTTTTTCATTTGAATGTGTATGAACATGAATACATGACTCTATGATTTGGCATTGGCTATGATGAAGCTTCCACTCATTACTGGTACTGCATATAGGGTTTAGGGTTGATATTGCTCTTTTAGTTCATGAATGGTAACTTGTAAGTTGTAACTGAAATGGTAGGCTATAACAGATGCCCCTTATTTCCCTTGTGAATGATAATAAGCATTCCGAGCTCTATGAAATGTCTGATTTGTGCCATTATATGCTTGTTTTTCCATTTGAATGTGTATGAAACATGAGTACATTGCTATATGATTTGGTGTTGAACCTGCTGCCAATATGAGTATAATGTATTACACTATTATGCGCTTGTTACATTTGAATGAGCATGATTCTGTCATTCTGGAAAGCATGCACATGCTGCCAAGTGCCAACTATCCCTGGACCCTTGTACCTTGCTCTGATTTGCAGGTTTTGTGTAAGTATCTCATAATCCCATTAATCCTTTACTCTATCATTTCTATTAATTTTCATTGGCTATGATGAAGCTTCCACATATTACTGAATGTATGGTTTAAGGTTGGTATAGCTCTTTCAGTTCATAACATGTAAGTTTTAACTGAAATTGTAGCAGTTGCTCCTATATTCCTTGTGAAGGATAACAAGCATTCTGAGTCAGTGAATCAATGATTTCTCTGATTTGTTTCATTAACTTATCCTTGTTAAGTTGTTATTGACATATTGTACTACTCTACTACATGTCTATTGCTTTCCATGTGTTCATTAACTTTCTTATGCAGGTGGAAACTTCAAACTGTGGAAGATAGTTGTGGAACTTCAAAGTCTTCAAGCATTTTTGCATTTTTGTGTACTTGACTAGTTGGAACTTTGTATGTTAATGATTAATGAACTGTGTAATTCAGTAATCTGTATTTTGTAATATGCTAAAACTCTTTGTCACAATTTTGATCCCCCCTACTCTTTACTTTGTAATATTCACATTATTTATGGCCGTATGGGAATCAAATTATGTTTTGCAATTGTAATATTTTAGATTTAGTGGTGTTGAAATTACAAATTATTTTGCAATTTCAAATTATTTTAGTTGAAACTTGAAACCGACTAAACCCGATACCCGATCCGAACCCGCCCTACCCGAAATACAATAAAACCCGAAAATATCTAAGTAAAAAAACATAGGATAGGATATCCATATTACACATCCGAAACCCGAAAGGGTATTGGGTTCACCCACCCGCCCGACCCGAACCCGCCCGATGCTCACCCCTACTTGGACCTTCTGGGGATGTTCATCCTCATGAGCTTACCTCTTGTTTCCTGCTGAAGTCCTTCGAGACGTACGTCTCGTGTTGCTCCTGGGCCAACGTACATGTCTACGCTAAGATATGTATGTCCCCTGGGCTTGACCCCGTTGGGGACGAACCTCACCGGCGATAACGGGGGCTAACCCGTTGTCTTGGGCCTTCTGGGGGCATTCGTAGGATAAGGGTTTATGTGTCAACGTCATTGGGCAATTAACCCAACAGAAGGTAAATACAGGGAATGTGCCCATGCGGACTCACTTATTCAAATTATCACATAATTTAAAAAATAGTTTCTAAAGTTGGAAAAAGTAAATCTTGTAGAGGCTTCCTTTTACTTTGAGGGTCGTACAATGTGTGTGGGTAATTAGGTATACTGGTATATAGCACCATTTTATTCAACCATTTTTCGAAGAGAAAATAGAAACTAATAATCCAACCTTTTAGCGGTTTTCTTACAATAGTCTCACATTTTCATTATTAATGAATAATCCAACTTTTGCACCTCATCTTCATTCACTGGTCCCTAACCAATTCATGACCTCTTATTCGAAGTTATTTTCTTATCTTTGCAAAACATTGTGTGATCATAAGGTAAGAATAATGGTATAATATTTTACAAAGATAAGAAAATAACTTAGAATAACAGGTCATAAATCGGTGAGGGACCAGTGAATGAAGATGGAGTGCAAAGGTTGGATTATTCATCAATAATGAAAATGTGAGACTATTGTAAGAAGACCGCTAAAAGGTTGGATTATTAGTTTTCATTTTCCCTTTTCCAAAAATTGATGTGAGACGACAGATATTTTGACTTTTAATGAAAAATAAACATTTTAATTCAAAAAAGTTATCAAAATATGACTAAATTACCTGAAACCCTAATCTCAATCCCATTTTTTCTACAACACCTACATGGATACATGTCAATTGTAATGGCCGTCACAAAACACATCAGTCACTAAAGCACATAGACCTCTGCGAATTCATGTACATAGAATTGTCTCACATTGATTAGTATTGATTTGATAAAGTAAAAAATAAAATAAAATAATTTAAAACTATACAAATATAAAAAAGTTTAGCCTGAGTGTTACTTCAATATGAGCAATATTATAGAAAAACTCGATAATAAATAATCTAATACGAGTGCCATACAACTCTTTGCATAGTAAACAAGTACAACTGTTTAAACATCCACTACTGAAACAAGAGTCCCGGGCTATATATATAATAATTTTAAAACAGTAAAAGGGCTTCTGTCATTCACCACTACAACACCAGGGCAGCCCCACATGCCCACCACCGACTATATTTTTTTTTCCTAAATCAGGCAGCAAATCAAAGGTGCCTTTGACAATTTGGCCACAACCTATCCGGTTATTTTAGAACACGACACCGAACAGCGTCTTTGCATAAAGACCCAAGAAGACACGGAAAACAAACGTTGTGGCACCCTGGCCCCTGACTAGGATTTCCATTTCAAAGAAAAGGTGGAGGGCATTCTGGGAAATTGATGTTTTCCTAAGAAGGATGATTTGTTTCAGGTTTCAAGAAGCTAGAAGGAGTGGTGTCTGGGGATGGGGAGTGGTAGATGGCGGAAGCAAGAGAGATGGGCATAATGCAGAGAGCCTTGGATTGAAGAAACTGCATTGCTGCCCCAACGTTTTCTTCCATCAGTTTAGCGACCTGTCTTTCCGTGCCATCGTTTGACCATTTCTCCCACGCCGGTTGACTTTTTCCTGCTTCTCCGCCCTCTTCCTGCAAAATGATCATACCGAAGTGTCCGGTTAAGTAAAATGGATTGCATCACCAAGTTGTGACCAATTCTTGCAAATTAAAATATTTACCTCTGACAATGAAATTGGCATTTCAGTGACTAATGGTGCAACTGCCCCAGCCCCTCCCAATCTGCTCATGCTCAACACCTGTAGTTTATGATCAGATCATTTAACACACAATAACACAAAGAAAATTGGTTGAAGTATTATGGCTCTGTTCGTTAGCTTTATACTACGTATGATTTATTCTGCATATTCAGATTACAGCCCTTATGGAAACCTGATTCGGCTTATGCTGGAGATCAGAAGAAGAATGAGAGAATAATAAATAAGCAGTTTTTGACTTGCTTAATTGGCTGAAATTAAGTTTAACGGATGCTTTTCCATCCAGAAAACTCCACAGATCCAGCCATCCATTTCAGATAAATAGCCCTTGCCCAACAGGCTCTGAGTAGCTTTTGACTTGTGATGTTACCCAATGCTTTTCCTATTAGAAAATTCAGCAGATTTGTCCTTTTAAGATTTAGCTTAATAACTTTTGCCAAAATGACCTAAATTTACCCGTTTAGACTTGTTTGGCTTAAAATTTGAGGATGAAATTATTTCCGAAATTCAGTAGATTTGTCCATATCAATTTTGATGCTCGCCAACTCTCGAGACTAATGAGGGAATGTTCGTGAATTCAAGAAAGTTTACCGACTACAAATACTCTTCAAAGTATGTTTCTCATTTCAGGTTCCACGCGTTGAAACGCTACCTAAATTTCACGGACATAACTATTGCCAAACAGATCCTATATATTTACCAGTTCGGATCCAGTATAGTAACTTCATCAACCGTCCAGGTTGGACTGATAGGAATGAAGGTGCCCCACCATTTGCATCATAATACAAAGTAGATTCCTTCCAAAAGGATAAGTGCAAATCCTTGTTTTAACTTAAGCAACACATTATTGCAATCATACACATCCCTTCTTTTTGAAGTATTAGAATGTATCTCTCAAAAAAAAGTATTAGAATGTATCTACACTATCCTAGTCTCCTAGATAATTTCTCCTTTCTATTAAAAGCGCGCACAGATGCCATCAAGGTTTTAAAGAACAGAAGGAAAAACACAGTACTCCATACTAAACCGGAGATGCAAACTTGCAATATTGTAAATCCAGTAGTTATTACTTCGCAAGAAAAAGGAATAAGACAGCCCGACAGATGGAAGTATCTTCAGACCAAAGGGAAAAGGCATGCTTTTCCATTAAAGACAAGACACACAGAGAACCACCACCACAATAACAACCAAAAGCTCCCCGTTATCCACAAATAATCACATAAAACCCCTTAAACTGAATGAAGTAGGCCGATTTACCTTAACTTGAAGTCTGAGGAACTTAACATAATCCACAATTTCATCAAGCATGACTGCTCTATCAGTCTGCATACAGAAACGTGAATGAGTAAACCTTTGAATATGAAATACACTAGGGTATTTCAAAATTTCTAAGAAAAAATTTAATATGTGAATTTTGTGGGGAAGTTAGAACTAACACAATACTTATTTATTCCTAATCAAGAATAGATGTAGTTAAATTTCTTCATTTAGGAGAGAAAGTTGTTACGTTTTGGATTACACAGGAAATTTTATCAACAACACACTAAGGTAATGTTTAGTAAGCCCTAAAGTAAAGCTAAAATAAAAATAGATTTACATTTCATTGCGGCAAACCAAAACGTTGCTGAAAAACAAGCATCTAACCATCTTCTATTCTATCATGTTATATTAAGAACTTGTGGATGTTGAACTTGATGCAAGTTAGAAAAAAGAAGAAGTGGACCTTATTAACATTGGGAACCAACTCCTGCAATGCTCTAATTCTTTCTGCTATTCTTTCCCTGCGTAACTGTGAAAGAATAATAAATAAATAGACTGCAGGTAAATCATTAGTATACTTGAAACAAATGAATTGTTAACATATATATGAGAGGTATACCCTCTCAGCAATACTATGTGGATCGGTTGCCTGACCCCGCCTTGCCCGCACTCTTGGTCGAACTGCAGGTGGATGTGCCATATTTGGAACTGAGCTTGGCATCAGCTGGCCATGGAAACCCTGGAAGCATATAGTTGAAAACTATGATAATTTGGACAATTGCTTACACAAACTGTTTGTGATACCATCATTTAACAATCAAAGAAACCATATTTCCCCTAAACCTTTGTTTGCTTTAATGAAGATGTAGAGAAGAGAGAAACGGATGAGAAAAATGGATGAGAGGTGGTAGAAAAATATGTATACTTTGTGTATTGTTTGGTAGGAGATAGATTAAGAGGAAACGAGTAAAAATTAAGAAGGAATATAGTCCTCTCCTACATCTCTTCTTCCATGGGGTAGAAGAAATAAAAAAGCCAGGATCCATCATCTCAGCATCCAATCTCTCGGTTTCTCACAAGAAAAAGTCCACTCTCCTCTCCATTTTTTCCAAGTGCACGTAACTTCTACGTTTCCTACTTCTCCCCAATCAGAGTCCAAAATCTGATGACCTTTTTCCAGTTCACACAACTCTTAACAGTTGAATTAAAAAGAGAGTTATCTCAAAGCCATCTACTTTGATTTCGAATGCTCAATATAGGATCCTTGTATTATCAGTGCTAACAGTTACTGATCTTAGTAAAATCCCAAGGGTAACAGGGGTTAGCTTCAGTCAAATTACTCCGTAATTCTTATCGATCAGCGGCAGAAGCAAAGGAAGAAACGAGTACTTACCGGTTTCATAGAAGATGAAGCTCTGTTATCCATCTTCATGCTATGAGAAGATGTATCGTTCATCTTCATGAACTCACCTCTCCCCTGCTCCAAACTGAGCCCCAGTGGAAACGGCGTACCTGTTGCGTGAAAAGGCATCCCCATCCCGCCTAGCCCCATACCCATCCTAACACCACCGAGGTGAGCCGAGCCGTCTCGGGAGCCGAGCTGGAGCATCATCGGCGACGCTGAAGCCGTTCCCGCCAAATTGGCATCGGAGACGTATGGGGGAAACCCTAGGATTTGCTCGAAGAAGTCTTCGGAAGACCCGTCAGACGGATTGGTAGACATTCCGGCGACCCGGTCGTGCGCTTTGCCTCCTGGATGGACGAGTTCAAACCGATGTGGTAACACTAAAGCATCGACCGCCGAGGTTCAATTCTTCCACAGTGAAGTGACCGTATGTGCTTGTGAGCGGCTATCTATAACGGAGAGGAATGGAGAGAGATAGAGAAGGCTCTGCTTTATTTGACTCCGTAATAGTTTCCACAGAGTAGTGAGAGCGAAGAAGAAAGAAGTGCAAATGGTGTCGCCGAAAGCTTAATGGCTTCCTTTCTGGTTCAAATAATTTATTTAAAGGAAAATTATGTAAACGTACATTCTCAGACGCCGTGGTAATCTGCCCCTACATTCAACCTCCTAATTAAAATAAATTTAGAAAAAGTCTCTCTCTTTAAACACATTCACTTACACATTAGGCTATATACAATAATCTTGTTGCTTTTGCACAGACATTTTCTTTTTTCATTTTTGTAAAAAGTATCGTCTATTATTGTCTATCCACAAAAGTTGAATTGTTTGTATCATAGACAATAATATTTTTCAAAGTGACAAACAATTTTTTTTACCAAAACAAAAAACAATTGTCTATGTACAGATAAAAAATGAGCACGTAATCGACGTGTAACCCGATATATACACGAAGAATGATTGTTAAATTTAGGACCAATTCCTTAAAAACTACGTAGTATAATTTTCACAACTCAAAAAGTGAATTGATGGGAAGCTCATTTCTAAAATAGTGACTACTTTATTTTTTTTATGTATACACATAAAATTGGCTAACATGGTAGTAATATATTTCTAAAATATAATGTTGTCAAATTTTGTGTTACGGTCAAATTTTTATGTCGATAATGAATGTCATTGTCATCAACGCAAATGTCCATGATGTCGTAACACATGTCATTGTGATCGTTGAAAAACATTTCGGTGACTTTTTTGTCGAATTTTCATAAAATGAAAAAATGAAAGTTGTCATCTTATGTAATTTTCTGATAACATTTCCGAAGGCGATTTTCAGTTGCAATTCTGACAAAGGTTTTCAGCAACGGCTGGGCAAGTGTGGGGTAGGACCCGGGCAGAGATTGAATATAACTTACAATAAGTAGAAATTTAGAATTAGTTAAACAAACCTCAAGGGTGTGGTGTCATCCTTTTTAAATTAGTTAAACAAAGAGTAAATTCTGCAGATATGACTATGTGTAAATCATATGAGTAATACATGAGCCAAGTGTAAAAATAGGAGTTATTGTTTTAAATTCCCTAAATAGGAGTAACTATGTGTTTTTGGACAAAAATATCCCTGCAAGCTTGCTGTCGTCGGTCGCTGGAGCTCCGCCACCACCGCCGGAATCCGTCACCACCGGTCTGCAACCACTAGCGGACTGGCCTTGGTTATGCAGGCGAACTAAGGGCAATTAATTATATTAGAGTTAGAAAAGTAATATTTACTCCTATTTAGGAAAAATATTGAGTCCTATTGTACATTTATATTTAGATTTAGTCCTGATTAGGATAATTTATCTTAAACCAAAAAATAATTATATGCTACAAAAAGAGATTGTCACTTTTTGTATTGTGTAAAGCTAGGGGTAATATTTGTATCTTTTTTCACTCAAAAATTGTGATTAAAGCTTAAACTGTTTCTTTAGACATGTGAAACAGTGTCATATCTAAGGAATCATCCCAATCAAACTCTTGCATTGTTGTTAAGCTGTTACGACTTAAGACTCAAACAAGATGATAATTCACAATTTAGACTCATAAGTTGTAAAGCATTGTAATTTGCGATTTCGATTTGTATAATAATCTAAACTGCATTTTGTATGGTTCATTTGTATCACATTTAAAGTAATTTTGTTTAAGTTAGATCTAATATGTCATGCATTTGTGAGATTTGCTCAATGTTCTAGATTGGTATTGTGGGCATCTTATAAGGAAGTACTACAATTAAATGGTCATATATGTTAACTAGAAACTAAGGTCCATGTAAAAATTATTTTTATTCAGGTACATCATGTGCACATATAAAAACATATTATTTGGGTTATTGAGTAAACAACTTAGGGGCGAAGGTATGTAAAAGTTTACTTGGTCTCTCCCATTTTTTTCATTTCATTTAAATTTTTGGGCCTGTCAATTTATTTTTATTTTGGTGTGATAGTGTAGAATAGTGTAGAATACTTTGATTATCTCACAAACTTTTAATAGTTAATGAAATAATTCTTCATCACCCAGTGGAGCATCCTATCTTGGAGACGTAAATGCATAATTATATCTTCACAAATAATCAAATATGATATGTAGTACTACATATTATATATAGTGTATTTGAAATAATTATTCGTGAACCTAATATTAATTATAAATACAAGAAGAGACATTGTCAAAACTGAAACGTAAGCAGCATACCAACACTACCTCTTGCATCACATCATGGCTGACTATCTCCACCTTTGTTAACAATTCAAGGATAATATTCTAAAAAGTAATGTTAACTATGTATTATAACCTATTGGTAAAAAGTTACAATATTATATCCCATGCATCCTCTATATTGACATTATAAAAATAACAGTTTAAGATTCGTCAACTGCCGAAAAAGTTCACTTAATATATCTAATTTTAAGTATTATATTTACCTTCTACCTTTACAATTAAATAGAACTATTTAATTTAATTTTTCAATATACGGAGTACAAATTTTAATTTCTAATTCTCGTGAGAATGTTGACAAGGAGAATTTTATTTTATATGATGTGTGAATATATTCTTCCATATAATAGTTATTTCTTATATATGTATGCAATAGTATGCTATAATAATTGTATACATATCCTTTTCCTTTATTTCACCCTGTATTTGTAAAAGGAAATGATATTTATACAATTATTATAGCTTACGTAAGAAATAGCTATTATATAGAAGAATATATTCGCACATAGATGAGTAGAACATCAAAATGTACATTGTTACGCTTGTTTTGGGAACGAGCGAGCATTATAATTTTGTGTTAAACTTCAATTATATTTCATTTTCCTAAGTCATTGAAGTTCTTTTTCTCAATTCTCACACAAATGACGAAACTAGATAAGATTTTTGTAAGTGAAATATGGTTAAATTTTCTGAGTATGGAATGGCGTAACCTAGACGATGGATTGTGTTTCAAATTAATTTCGATGTTTGAAAATGCAAAGCTCTCTAGGACCATAAATTAATGCTTCTAATTTCAGAGGCAAAATATTTGTTGTAGACCTCTGTAATTCAAATGAGTTGATTTATCCATTTCTTTGGACCTCAAGAAGTGCTTGTTTTTTTAATTATGAGTTACTTTAATGTATGCAAAAAAATGTTTGGAAATACATCTTGCCCAATTGGTTGGTATTATTTAAATATTTTATTAATTCAGATTCGATTCACTATCACTCTATCAATAAGAGATTTGAAATATGAAATGTGTCAATATAAATTACTAATGATTAAAAACTACTTTGTATTAATTAAAGGCCTATAATATGATATATTTTTATTGATCAATATATATTCTAAAAGTTGTGTCTAAATTCAATCCATTTCATTAAATAGAAATGGTGCTAAACAAGAGTAAAAATAGTGTTGAATTTCAAAATAGGAGCACTAAATTCTTATTTCTTGAATATAAGTAATCATTGTAATACTGTCATATTAAAATATGGTAATATCAAAATATGACAATAAAATTTCAAGATGAGAGTGACATACTCATATTTAGGGAAAATACTATTAGATAGTACTCATGTTTTAAAATTTTGCATAACTTTTATTCCTATCTCAAGAATGTTACCTTCTTAAATATAAATATGATGAATTCGTCTTTTTTTCAATACGAAGCAATGTAATTAAAGTTGTCTCCATTTACTAGAAGTATGTAGTCTTTATTTGTGTTGGTCCAAAATAGGACGCTCGTAGGCTTTTAGGAAAGCTACGTACGACACTCAAGTAAGAATTAAGAAAGTACGAATATGGAAAGTTGCAAAGGGGATTTGGTAGCCAGAAATAGCATATCTCATTTGAAATTCGGACTTGCCTTTTATAGGCGATTACAAATGGTAATTGCCACAGACACTAATGACTAATTAATTACAACATTAATATAGAATTAAACACATAATTAATAGTGCATTGATTGTTGGCCGTTACTCTTCCTGGCTGGCAGGTCAGCCTGGCTGGCAGGCTGAACGCTTGAGCTCCCTCCTACTGGACTGGACAGTGGGCTTCCCGCTAGACTGGAGGAAGGCTTCTGACCGGGCTGGAGGCAGGCTCCCGGGTAGGCTGGAAGCCGGGCTCCCGGGTAGGCTAGAAGGCAGGCTCCCCGTTGGGCTGGAGGCAGGCTCCCACCTGGGCTGGACCGCAGGCTCCCAGCTGGGCTGGTGGCCTGGTCGGCAGGCTCCTGGCTAGGCTGGAAGGCAGGCTCCCCACTGGGCTGGAAGGCAGGCTCCCCACTGGGTTGGAAGGCAGGCTCCCCGTTGGGCTGGTCGACAGGCTCTCTTGGGCTTCCGCTCCTTGATTGCCCTGATTGGTTGGGCTGACTCGAGCTCTGGGTTGCTGGGCTTGGGCCTGCTGGTCCAAGTTCGGGGCCTGGGCCGATTAGGCTCTGGGCCTGGTCCCATAACCCCATCACGAGTCCCCCACTCCCTTAATCGAGTAGTAGACTCGGCTAAGAGGGAGTAGTTCAGGTCAGCTGCCCATTAAAAAATATTCACATATCAGGGAGCCATAATTGTGGGTTATGTGAATCCTGGAGTTTATGGAAATTCCCAAATTAAATTAGGCTCCCAAAAAAAGCTCCAAATAAATTCCTTCATTTTCTTTTCTTTCCTTTTTTTTCTTTTCCTTTCTTTTCTTTTCTTCCTTTCTTTTCTTTCCTTTTCTTTTTCTTTCCTTTCTTTTCTTTTTCCTCTCTCCTGGAACCCTGCGTGCGTGCGTCTTCTCCTAGCCGTCCCAGCGCCGCAACGTAGTAAACCCAACGTGGACCGCCGTATGTGGCCTTGACCTCCCTGCCTCGCCGGGCTCTCCACCAGCCGGCGGTTTTTCCGCGGTGGCCGACGGCGACAGGCTCGAGCCGGCTTGCTTCCAGCGTCGGTCTACGAACCGTCCAGGTCAGGCGGCCACCGCTATGCACTTCGGATTTGAAAGCGACGGGCCAGGCTGGAGCCACAATTCCCCGGGGTTCCGCGTTGTCCGGTGGTCGTCTGGGTGCTCCTTCCTCCGGGC